GCGCTTCCTTTGTAAATCAGTGAAATCTGATGAAAATAGCGCGCAGCACGCTATATAGCTCACCTACGTGCGCTTTGGGGGCGGTGCTAAGCGCTATTTGGCCAATGAATTGGCTTGATGGTATAAGGGCTTCAGACATTCGTCACACCAAAGGTGTTCCCAAAGCGATGACGTCATCGCAGCATCTCGTTCCCCTACTCAGGGAACCAAGGTTCAATACGTAACCGAGATGTTTTCTTTCGTTGGAGTGAATTCTATGTTCTTAATATTATGATCAGTTCTTGCTGACCAATGACTGAACCTAATGGATTTCTAAACACTGATAAGAGAGCTGGGTGACTGACTGCATGTAATCTGGATTATGCAATCAGATTCTAAAAATTTAGTACATTTCATTTAAAAAATACTCAATCAGACTACCGTTTTTATTGATTAGCCTACATATGATTCACACAGTAGCAAAAAATTTTTCATAATTTATTGATTCTCCCCAATTCCTCTTTTTCATCTTTTGAATGTCCCTTTCTAAAATACCCTACACATTCAGAAAGGCTTCCAGTTTTGTGGGCATTCACACAAAGACCAGTCACTAGTTCGGGGGATACACAGCATTCAACCAGTGGATTTACAAATATCATTTCAGGTTTAAGATGCTTTTCAGCATTGCACCAACAACTGATGAACACATTCATTTTTATTTTAATTATGACTCAGTAGGTTATTTAACCATTTATTGTGTCTTTGTTAGGCTTTTGTCTTTCAAACACTGAAATGCACAAATTCATGCTATTTCTTATTTGCATGTAATGCAGCCATTCCCAAACTTATGTCATCTGAACCTCTGAATTTACTTGAAGTACCCCTGAGATGTTTAAATAAATATTTTAATAATCAAGTACCACATTTTGCATGTTCACTGTTCTCTGAGGTTGGATAATGGTCACATGACATACAGGTAAACAAATAAAATATTAATTTGTTTTAGTAAGTGTTTTATTTACCATATCTAATTCCAAAGAAAGAAAAAAAAGCCTACAAGCAATTAAAAAAAATATATACAAAACCAGCAACACCAAGTTTTGTCTGTCATCAAAAAGCATTTAACGCTGAATTTTGTCATCTTTCCAAAACTAGTCATGTCAACTGTTCTATCAGTCCATAAGGCAGGAGATACAGTTATGATAAATGAGCAGTTTATTGAATAATCTCGGTTGCATCTTTCCTGATGCTCAATTTGACTTTGTCTGACCAGCACAAATTCAACAAATGTCTTGCTTAACAAAATCGAAACAGACAAATAACATAACATGAACATAAGTAAAAGGAGTTCAAGAAAAGAGAAAGACAAGTTATAATATGAAAGATATTTAAAAACAAACAAACAACCACAATAAAAGTCTTAATTCAAAGTCTCATGAAGTTTTATGGACTCTGCTAGTAAATTAAAATAATGTATTTCACATCCCTCTGAGGACAATGTACAAGCATAAGTGAAAGACTCTGCACATTCACCTAAAAACCTGAGCCAAAAATAAATTACTTCCAATACAGAAAAAAAAAACAGTTCAAACAATAATCTATCAAAATATTCACATGTAAAAGATTTAATGAGTATTTTGATGCTTATCCATAAATGACTACAAAAGACATTTTTCTCTTTTTTTTTTTTAATGCAAGGCAATTAGTTATACGTGTTTTTTTTTAGTAAGACTCGTTTTGCATTGTACACCTTGATGCTTGAAGTTTCGTCCCGAAATGTTTAGCACAATTGAGCTCAAGTTCTAGGTTTGCACTATACATAATGCTTAAAACCTAGGACTCCCAAAATTTAGGAAAATATGAAATATGTAGATTTTTACCCATTGACAGTTAAGGCTCAATTTTGTATATTGGGCTTTAAAAAAAGAAAAGAAAAAAAAGATTGTCCTTAGCACAGATTCACCCGTGACCATTCAGTGTCTAAAAGAAAGGGCTTTCTTATTATTAAAGTATATTAAAATAATATAACAACTACAAATACTACATGGTCCTCAATGGATACATAAACACAAACGAATGTTGACAAATCTGGAAGCAATAACCAATGCAATAATGTGTGGGAAGAAAACAAGTGAATACATAATAGTGGGTTAACCTAATTGGTTAAGACTTAAGGACTAGTAATCTGATCAGAGTCATGACCTGAAAAAAAAAAAAAAAAAATATCAAGACACAACATCACCACTAGAACCAGGTACTCCAAAGGCGCTCTATCTGTGCTTATAATAAATACACTGCAAGTTATCTTCTAAGCTAAAAACGAAGTGCATCCAAGGACATTTAAATATAAAAGTATGCCATTGGAGAGACTCATAGAGATCTCATTTTTAGCTGTAGAAAGTCAGCTTTAATTAATGACGATGAACAGTTTTGATGGTAACGCCATTAATACATGTCAACAGTGAACCCATAGGGTCAAGTACATATGCAATGCTGTGCCTAACATCACTTAAGTAGATCTCTGTATGTTCAGCGTCCTCAACAAGTAAGAGAATCAGTCCGTTTACTGAAGTTGAACATTGTTTTCCGAAGGTAAAGCTGGCATGATGTGCTCGGCTCATGTTATAACTCGTCATGAGGCATCTTCAGGGCATGGTCACAGAGATCTGTGGAAGGAGTAAAAATAAACTATTACATATGCAAGTGTAGTAAGAAAAAAGTATTGGTGATACAGTTCCACGTGTCCTTCTGAATATTTTTTCAATGTTGTACATGTGTCAGCTATGCTTGAAAAGGTGTCGTCATAATGTTTTTAACAGGTAAATGCATGTAGCTTGTGACTACGATGAAATAAAAGAACTTCAGATAATCTAGAGACACATATCATGTGGAGTTCACAGATAGGTTTGAAATGAAAGAATACTGAATCAAATATGTTTACAGCATTACCCGTCCTCTTACTGCAGAGCTTGTCTTTAACGTTGTCCGTCTCATGAGCAAAGAATTCAATAAGTTCATCCTCGTGCTGCTCAACGATTGTTTCACACTGTGAAAAATCACACATAAAGAAAGACTATTTCTAAAACCGGTCAGAAAATTCTGATGTCTGATAATGTACAATTATTGCATCAAATCAGCAGCGAATTGCATCATAAATGCAAATACAAGTTAAGGTTTGACTTAAAAATAAATACATGAAGAAATGGAAAAATATATATATATATATTCTCACAGCAAACTTTAAACTAGAGCTGACTCTGGAGTCAAAGGCCACATCAGAAAGGTCCATGGCAGTGCCATCACGGGATGCATGTCTCACGTATGTCTTCCGATCGGTGGCAGGGTCAACCCGTTCACCGTAATCGTTCATCCTCTCACAAACCTCTTCCATCAGTTCCAGCAGATGACTCTCAGAGCGGGAAAATGGAACCTGAGCACATTAAAACAAATGCATAAAGATCTGTAAGTTGGTGTCAAAAACAAACAAACACAAAATGATGTCATTATGAACCTCAAATACGTCACCTCTCTTACTGACTGACTGCCATCAGGATTAATCCTAAATGATCCGGTCTGGATCATTTTCTTGGGATCTATTTGCGATATGGCCCATTCCATTTCATCAACTAATGCCCTGCATGCTAGGGGGAAAAAACATGTGCATGATGCAATTCAGAAGTACTCCATCACAGAGATTTATTAAAACAGTTTGAAGCTGCATTTATGAAGGTGTGTAACATTCCTGATGTTTCTTTGTCCTGCAAGACAACTGACCCACAATGCCTGTCTAGATATAAAAATATATGTGCACAGTAAATTATAAAAGGTTTGAAAAAAGTTGAAATACCTCCACATTTTATGTCTTGACCCTGTCTGGCTCCTTGGACCAACAGTAGGTGCAAAGACATCAATGCACAGACGATAACAATGTAAAAATGTTTTTCCATCCCCACCTACAAAACCAAATAAAACGTAATGTAAGGTTATTGCATACAATTGTATTTTATTGCAGCCTTCGACAGCTGGGATAAGACATAGAATGGCCGGACTTACCTTTCACGAAATACAATCAAGCAATAAAATCATGCAATGTGTTAATGTATTCATTCGTCGAACTGAATCGCATGCATATTTTAAGGCAGCGCGTGAACTTACAAACCGTTTGCTTTAAATGCGCCGCACACACGCGTTCTTGAACTGATGACGTGCACACAGGGATGATTGTAGTTTAGGAGCTGACCTGAGATCTGCCGCCGGAGAGCCTGGTTTTTCTTCTTGAGATGTGTTGGCTGTCTTTGGTGCATTACCGCCACCAGCCGAACTGGAGTGTGGAGCGGTGACGCGAAATACACGTGCGCCCTCTACAAACAGTGGGACCCTTGATAAATATGACCAAAAACATACTGTGAAAAAATCTGACCTTTAAGTAATTGTATTTTTTTTCTCATATGTGTGTGTGTGTGCCACAGTTATTGGCAGCCTTAATTTAATGCAACGTCCCTTTGTCAAGATAAGAGCTGAGGTTTCTCCTGTAATATTTAACTAATAAGCCGGTAAAACTTATAGCAAGGATATCTGACAGCACTTCTCCATAGACAATCTCTCCAGGTCCTTCAGATTCTGTGGTCCATGTTTATAGACTGTCCTCTGCAGCTTGTCGTTCCTGCAGGTTTTCTTCCGGGTTTAGGTCAGGGGACTGCTGGCCATGGCAAAACCTTCATTCTGTGGTCAGTGAATGTGGTGTGCTTCGGATCATAGTCCTGTTGGAATATCCGCCAACATACTTCACAGCTAGGGTTGCCAACCGTTCCGTATATATACGGAATAATACGGAATCGTCCCGTATTTAAGGCATCAAAGAAGCGTTCCGTATGAAAGCTATACGGAACGCAGTTTGTCCCGTATTTAAGGCATACATATGCCGAAAGAACACCTAGACCATACGAATAACAAACTCTAAATTGAGAATTAATCAATCTTTTTTGACAAGTGTTTGATTTGTGAACAGACCCGTTCCAGGGAGGCTTTAAGACCAAGCGGAATCCTCTGCCAGCTGGTCGCTCCCGCTTCACCGCGTTTCGACTTCAGCAAATCAGTTTGAGCGAATGCAAACAACGTGATTCCAACATCCATCCACGCAAGAAAACATGCATTTTACCTGAGGGAAGACGTGATCAATAAGGAAAGTCGT